CTGGAAGCTGAGAACTGGCGACTTTGTAGTACAACTTTAGTACGCGGCTGAGCCATCTCTATTCTGTATTTTGCAAAACGCGAGACAGTTGACGGTGGTTGCTTCGCTTTTGCTCCATTGGTCGGTTCCAACTTGTTTTGTCAAAGAACATCGCAGCTCGGCGAATCAGCCTGCCACATGCCCATTTCCTGTAGGTCTATTCTTTTGGAAACTTCCGCCGCCGGCTTGCCCGGGAACTACTTGTATCGTGGCTCATGGATTTTCATGGTCACCATAGCCCTGGGTCCGAGGTCCTCTTCCACTTCGATGTCCTCGGCATCATCGTCAAAGTCTACCTGTGGCAAAGATCACAACAGGTCCATCTTTGGAGGATGTTGATGCATGGCTCGCGCACGGATCTGCGTTCATCTGAGGTTCATCTGATTTTCCATGTACTGTGGCTCCACACATCGGGACTGGCGCCCTTCTTGGGAACAAAGGCCGTGGGCGTACGCCCATGGAGTTTCCGCTTCGGGGTCTTCTCCACCTGCGCGGCGACCAGTCTCGGCTCGGAGCAAGCCGAGACTTAACACCGAGGCGGCCCAAATGTTGGCGTCTTGCACTCCCGAAATTCACTCAGAGTTGTAGAATGTTATAAAATAGGTTTCAAGATGTTCAAGCCAAAAAGTGGTGTCCCACCGTCCCACCTCCACTTCTTCTACATCTTCGTCGTATTCCTCGAAGCCCACCGCCTTTAATGTGCATCAATCTGCGATGTCCGCGAGGGTCGATAAACTGCAACACGATGCAATTGACCATCATTGACTCACGAGTACATCCTTGCAAGTCGTGGCTCTTGGACAGGCACACTCCTTGAAACAATCATGGAAGTGCACACAATCCCCTGTATGTAGCGGAAAAGTGTCTTTCCACCATGTTCATCCATTGTTATCCATGTTCCATGCTTGTTTCACGGAGGGTAGATCTGAAGAAGGCATGTCTTCATCCGCTATTTGTTCCCCGCTCTCAGCTCAGCACCGCTTTGGCCGTCTGCGCCACATACCCCGTGGGCTTTCGGGACTTTACCTTTCCTGCCGATGTTTGGACGGTTTTTCGGAGCGGCCTCTTCGGACGAGAAATTCAGAAAAACAGGTCGACGATGATTTGGCTCTGTGGAAAACATTTCCAGTCCATGGCGCAGGTCCAGTCCATTCCCCAAATCAGCGCCAGTTTTGATGTTCTTTTTCAACCCAGAGCTGGAAGCCATTGCAGCCCAAGGAGCTAGAAGCGGGCTCATCACCTCAGCACATGCTGACGTCCGGTGCGACTCGTAAGGAATGAAGCGCCAGCTGGGTCCATTCCGAAGATCAGCCGGCCTCATTCCCTGGGAGTCGCACCAGCCGGCATGTCTTGCTAATGATATATCATCTTACATCAAGGGTTGCTATAGCTTTGGCGTGGAGCATGGGAGTGGAGAGCCAGCTGTCCCACTGTCCCACAGGGAGGCTCCCTCGAAACCCAAACGTCCAACTCAGACCGCTGTGTGCCTTGGAATGGTTCTTCGCCATACTGGCAGAACCAGCATGTGTTCGCCATTTATCTGACAAATTCCCTGGATGTGTGTATGCCGTATGCGACTCCAATCGCTGCATCGCTGCCACACGCCACGGGCGCCGGGAAGCGAAGACTAAGCTTCACGCCAAAGCTGTTCCCATTCGCAAGGCGCCCGTCGATCTCCACAATCTAAGCGCCAGTCAGGACTGGACTGGACAGTCGCACGCAAGACACACAAGTATGGATTCGGGTGGTTGGAGGCACGAAGAAGACACAGGTCAGGTCCCAAAAAATGGCCAGCAATCTCAACAACCTGAAGTTCCAAAAAGTCACACTCATCTCAGAGACACCTTTCCTAGCACCTGCTAGCAAAGAGGAGTGTGAACTCTGATGCTAGAGTCACACTCCCCCTTTAATGCCAGACTATTGAATGTCTAGGGGCGCTCTCGCGTTGCCGGAACATGACCCCTCTTCTGGAGCCAGTGGAGTCCGAGGATTTGGGACTGGCCACGTCGGCGTTCATGAGCGCCACCTGGCCACGCCAGCACCGACGGCGCATCTCGCCCGCTTGGCGGGCTGAGCGAGCGGGCTGGGGTTTGTTGGGGGGGTTCGTTGTTGGAGTCGGATCCGGTGGATCACACCAATCTGAAGGAGTTGAGGAACCAAAGATTCGGGACTCATCGGACTCATTGACCCATTCTGAAATCGGAAAAGGTTTGACAATCCTTGACCCCCGCCCAACAGTCCAAAAGTCATTTGGATTCACTGGTCTTGACATGTCTTGACAAAGAAACCAATCCAAAACACAGGCACCATGCACAGATCTGGACCTTCAAAGGACCTCTTTGCTCACCTCTTTGCCCCCCACGCTTCATGGTCCAGCAGCATGACAGACTTGAGGCCAGAGGGGGTGAACGAAAGCTAGCCGGGCTTCCGGTGGTCTGCTGCTGGTGCTGCTGCTGCTGGTGCTGCTGCTGCCGCTGCTGCGCTGGGCGCTGCTGCGCTGGGTGCTCTGCAGGCGCCGGGTCGTCTGCTGCTGCTGCTGCTGCTGCTGGCGCTGGGTGGTCTGCTGCGGCTGCTGCTGCCGCGGCGTTGGGTATGCTGCTGCTGCTGCTGCTGCTGCCGCTGGGTGGTCTGCTGCTGCTGGTGCTGCTGCTGCTGCTGCCGCTGCTGCGCTGGGCGCTGCAGATGCTTGGTGTGCTGCAGCTGCTTGGTGGTCCCGCTCACCGCGCGCAGGGGGGAGTCGAACCGCGGGGGGGGGGGGGCCATAAGATTGATTTAATCAATTATTTGAGGTTTCTGAGGTGCGTCCACCCCGTCACTTAACTTGCTAAAGCAAGAGCAACTCCAGCTAGCTAAGGCTAGCTTTCGTGATAAATGACAAATGTGTCACTCCTTCGTTTGAAACATATCTTTCACCCGCATGGCCTGGCAAACCGCAGGAGGACATCTAGAAAGTAGTGACCGACGTGACCGAGATCTGCAGACGGTAAAGTTGCAATAAACTTTTGAAGATCTCCGAAGGATACGAAGATCTCCGACCCTTTCCTCTCACTCATGGTGTACCACACACATGGCCAGCTTTTGACCACTGCTTATTTATTTTAAAGGACTCATGTCGTCTGAACTCTTGGTGAATTCCATCTGAACTCCAGTCCGCGCGGGTCCGAAAGGCTGCTGCGATCGTCGGTCACGCGACCTCCTGCTGCAGGTCCTCCACGGCGGCGAAGGACTTCTGCCTCGGTCGGATCCGCCAGAGAAGAGAAGCGACCAGAGCCAAACGCGAAGTGGTTCGACATACTTTCCTCTTCTCGGGGGGCAGATGGTGAAGATGTTGAAGGAGAGTTGAAGTGCCGAAAACGACGGTACATGGCAAATGAAGGGACGCCACAACGTGCGCGCACTTCTGTTTACACATGACTATACGGTTCGCTCGGATTTGGATGTGCTCTTGCCACAGCACATGCCCAGGTTTGAGGCTGTTGCCAAATGGCACAACAAACATGGAAGATCCGCTGAACGTCCAATGCCAACAAGCCACGCTGATTTTAATCCTTTCTGAAGCTCTTGAACCTTGGCGCTCAAGGATTGGCGGAAGCTTTGCCGCAAATCAAGCACCATTGGCTTTTCAGCCAACTCCTTGGATCAAAAGAATGTCTTCAAAAATCATGCATGGGCTTCCAACATCCCATCCACCCACACGAGCTTTTCCACTCCGCGTCCCAGCGGACCGCTTTTTTCATTGCCCGGCTCGACAACCTAGACCTAGGCCTCGCTGCCATAGCACTCGGGCGGCGGCCTCAGGCGGTGGGTCGACACCGAGGACGCTCGGTGTCACCGCGAACCACGCTCTCCCTGAGGCGCCGGCACATCACAGGGAGGTGACGTGATGCCTGAAAGTGGCCTTAGTCGTAACTCTTCGTGGCCTGCTGGAGAAGATCGCCTGTTGCCCCTTGCAACCTCAACTGTCAAATCAAGCGACATCTGAAACTCGTCCTGCAGCCAGTCCTCCCAGTCCTGGCACGTCGAATCGAAGGCATAACATACAGACCCCAACTAAGTATTGACCTTTGGTCGGGTCCTTTTAGGGCACTTGGCCAAACTGTGTGGACACACAAAACAGTGTGCGTGTTCTTCACATCTCTACATCTCGACCACGGCGGCCTCATCCTCGCTGTCGCCCAAGAGGTAGCCCTCCATGATGGAATCCATCCCCCAGACATGTTCCTCGAATTCACAAAGCAGAACCATTGGGTCATGAACAAAACTGCTCGAGGAATGCCCGAAGGCACTCTGCCATAAGGCACTCTGCCATCAACTAACATCTCGACCAGCCACACCCTCCAGGCAGTAGCTTGTACCCTGTTACATACATGTCCATCTTTTAGCTCTATCAACTTTGAATGTCGAACAAATATCCCTCAGACTCTTCAATGTCCGTGTTGGTTGGCAAGGCTCGTAGTAAGCCTGCCAGGACTCAAACTTGTTCATGAAGGCATCAACCTCCGTGCTAGTGCTGCTGCGGTTGTATGGGTGAAAGTATCCATATACGACACCATATGTGCGAATATCATGAAATGTAAATATGTGTGTGTGTGCAAAGGCAAACCGGCGCCAACAACAAACACTCATCAATTGGAACCTTCGATGGCACGTTCTGACTTTACATGGCACAGGTTTGCAACCTCCAAACATGCCTACTTTGAGGTTTCACGATTCTTAGGAAGGCTCTGCAATGGGACAGGTCCCAAGTCCCCAAACAGACCAATGGGGTGAGTCAAGACCGATCATGTGTGAACCAGTGCTCATCAACTGACCCGACCTTTCCGGCAACCCCCGGGAATGTTTCGGTGGTCCCAAAAAAACCTGAAGACACCGTCAAGCATGAATTTGGAAGTTTCAGGTTCAGATGCCTCAGAGGAAAAAAAAGTCGAACATGTGCCGTTCAGAGCTGGTGATACTGCGAGCAAAGCAGCCGTGGCCATGGTTTGGATGTCAGAATCCTCAGCCTCTTCGCTCTTTGGGCTGAAGAAGACCATGCTACCTGGGGCGCATTGAATGCTTGGTCCATTCCAACACGGACTGCGGAAAGGATCTCCATGTCAATTGGAACGAACCCCAATGATGACCACATCACCAGGCAAAATGCCACAGAACATCATGCACATGCCAAAATGACATCCTCCATCGCCAAAACCATCCAAAACCGGTGCTAAAACGTGGCTCTATTCCTGGTTGGATCTCTTGGTGTTGATCATGATATCCATCCCTACCAATCTGTCGCAACCCTCTGCACAACTCTACCACGTTTCAGGGTGACTCCGGTGCTCCCGCTTGCCTGGCTCCACTTGATAGCAGCGTCCACGCTCTTGGACCAGCCAAGATGAGATGGCATGGTCAACCTGGCGTCATCCAGGAGTCAGAGCGACTCACAACCGGAAGAAGCAAATCTGAGAGAGTTCACAAAATTCAATTTTTCGACATTTCGGCTAGCTTCTGTCACGAGATCCCCTCCTAAAGTTGCACATGGGCACGGTTGGGCACAGGCAAAAAGGAAACAATGACACTTCAACATGTTAGACAACATATCTCGAACAAGCGAAGATCACTGTGCGAAACCGTGTCTGTGAATCGTTCTACACCGATACGCCACCACCTAGTACCCGCTGATACGCCTACATGCTCGTATGTGTCAACAAAGGGTATACGTACAAGGAACATGCCGGCACCCCACTATGCTCAAAACGCTGTTACGGTGGTACGCCGGCGTGTACTATGTACTTACCCGGGTAAGAAATTGACCTGCAATCTATATTCTATATTACAGTAGGTGCATTGGTCTGTCAGTGCACATTGAAATTGCCGATCAGTGGATCGGTGCGAGTTGCTTGTCATTATTCAATTGTTGCTTGCGATAATGTGCGATCACAGTGACAGGTCATCACCTTGACAGGTCATCACCTTGACAGGTCATCACCTTGACATGAGACTTGACACGACTCAAAAAATTACATAACTATTGACTATTATGACTATACAACTATATGTGATTATATGTGTAATTTTGTAATAAGAAGAACCTTGCACCCTCGAAATCACCACCTCTCACAAATCCACAACACAAACATCATCGCTCTCGAGGACTTCTTGGCACCTGCCCGCCAATGGGGAACAGATGCTGCAAAAGGGCCTCGGCCGCTGGCCGTCGCACCACCCAGGCGAAGAGCCCAAAGCAGGGCTCCCGCATCGGCCGCACCGAGACCTCGAAGGAGGCGTTGCGGCATTGCCAAGGTCGGGTCGAAAGAGTTCCAAAAATGGTTGGCCTCATGGATCCTCATGGCAGATCTAGATGGTTAAGAAATGTTTAAGAAGATTTAAGTATGGAAACCAAGCAGCCTCGATGGGCTCTCCAGCCGGCTGCTCAAAGGCTCCGGGGTGTGCACGGCCAGCATCATCATGATATCCTAGGAACAGCGCGTCCCAATCCTCTGGCAGTTGTTCGATCGCTTTCTGGATGACTTCCTCTGCCTTCACAAGAGCACCAATTCTTTTTGCCGTCAACGTCTCAAAATCTGACAGGCTCACATGCTGAGAGCCTGCTGTTCACTGTTTAGCGACCTTCCAACTACTTGAGATGGGGGTTCGCCACCATCTGGTGGTGGGTCACTTTTATTAATATTGAACATCTTTTGACTAACTCATACTAAGTCCATGCCTTAGGCACCAAGGCGGCAATGTCATCCTCCAAAATGATGCCCCACTGGGCCGTCGGATGCTTCACCACTGCTTCCAAGGCCAAGCGGTGGGACATCGCACAAGCGATGCCACCCAGGGTGAGGTGGTTATCGAAATGGAGCAAGCGCCCCTGGCAGCTCCACAAACTCCACACTTTCTTTCATTCTGCCTTTCCTGGTCGGATTCTGTAAGTGTTCCATATGTTGCCATCTGGTGCTGACACACTTGTCACACCTGCTACCTCACACTCACTACAGTCATCACTTGTCACTGGCGCCATGCCCAGGCCCCCGAACGCGCCTCGCTGTGCACGATGGTGTAGGCTCCACGCCTTCGAGCGTGTCTCGCCCGGTCCACCGCGGCGTCGTCCACGATTAGGGCCACCGCGGGATGCCGCAACGTCAGCTGCTGCCCGTCGATGGCCTCTAAGCGGCGGATCTGGTGACAGAGCTGTGGGCTGAAGTGCTGCAGCTTTTCCAGCAGCTTCGCCTGAGATATTGGACCAGTGGAAGGTGTTGACAAGAAAGACAAACTGCTCCTTCAAATTTAAAAAGCATGCTTTCTGGGAATGATGTGGGAGTAAACGAGAATGAAAATCAAGGAAACATATCATCAACATCACTCTGCGTTGCAAGTTTGGTAGGAAGTTGAGGAGGTTGGGTGCCGCTACAGGTGTAGAACCTCCAGAGTCAGAGCGAATTTGGGAAAAACTGAAGTCCTTGCCCAGTCTCTTTTCTGTCAGGCCTTCTGGCCAGATTTATGTACACTGCGCACCACTCAAGCTCTGCAACGCCATCCCAGAAAGTTGGCGGCAAGGAGAGCACCTCATCTCGCTCACCTAGTGAAAGACTCTCAGTGGTCGCGGCCTTCCGTTGGATCAATCTCCTTCCCGGTCTCAGCGACCATTGGCCCAAGCCAGTCATGCCCAGTCCATTGGCCGCCGGTACGGCGATGGGGTGACCACGTCGCGAACCACCTCGCCCGACCAAAGCACCTTCGATGAAGCCGGGAGAAAAGGATACCAACCGTGTTCAAAAAGTCATTATTGCAGGATGCTTTTGATGCCTGGCGGTCCCAAACGCAGGAGAACCCTTGTGTGAGACGCTGGCTATTCCGGCTAGCGTCCCTCCAACAAGAAATGGAAGTGGGACAGCATGGTCAACAGGCGTGCCTATTGCTATGCACCTCACATTCACCAAACAAGGCAGCGCAGCTGTCGGCACCCTCCTGCGTGCAAAGCACATGCACAAAAGCGGCCGATCGTCTATCATACATCCCCCTAAGGACTGCCAGGCATATCTCACAAAAAGTGCACAGTACTGTATGTTCACATATGCGCGCGTGTGTATAAATACACTATATGTGTGTTTGTGTGGTTCCCTGTGTGCGCGTGCAAAATGCAATGATGCATTTGCTTACCTGTTTAACATATATGTATAGAGAGAGAGAGAGAGACTAATGTATAAAGTTGTCGGTGATTCATTGTGATTGTTTTGGTTTTCCTGCGGCATCGCACGTGGTCTTCGCAGTTGAATGAAATGGACGTCGACAGGATGTCGACAAAAAATCTGCCTCACAGGGTCAGGCTAGCTTGGCTCACTTGGTCAACTCTTTGATCTCTCCAGGTGTCGGGCAGGGCTTGAACTTCTCGTCCTTCCCAAAGGTGAGTTTGCAGGCTGCCTTGCCGGCCACACGCCCAAAGACCACGCAATCCAACAACGAGTTGCCACCCAAGCGATTGTTGCCATGGATGCCACCAGCTGCCTCGCCCGCCACATAGAGTCCTGGAATGACCTTACCACTCTTGTCGAAGCACTCAGCATCCACCGTGCATTCCAAGCCACCCATACAGTAATGAATGACCTCAGCTTGGTCAGTTCTTTTCTTTTGGGTTGCATTCCGAGAAATTTGAGAGACTGGGATGTGAATGCGGTAGGCCTTCATTACGTTACTTCGAGTGGTCCCCACCATGACAATTCAATCGTTGCCGTTGTGGGGGGCTTTGTGGTTCTCGATTTTGCTTGTGGGTCCTTGGGTTTGGGGTTGTTGTTTTAGTGTTCGGGAGTTCGCACCAGGGTGCCGCCAGGATCTACAGCTGGCATTCTGTCCAAAGTGCGGCCCTGTGACACCTGTTTTGTGTTGCGTTGCGTTGCGTTGTGTTGTGGTGGTGGGGGTTGTGGTTGTGTGTTGTGGTTGTAGTTGTTGTGGTTGGAGTTGTTGTGGCTGCGGTTGTGGTGGTTGTGGCTGTGGTTGTGGCTGTAGCGGTTGTAGTTGTAGTGGCTGTGGTTGTGGTGGTTATGGTGGTTGTGGCTGTGGTTGCGGGCAGAAATGAAGGCAAAGCCCTTTTTTAGAGGACGCACTGTGATTTCGAATATTGCCAAGGCGCCAAGGCGCCGGGCCCGGCGCTTGTCAAGTCATGAAGTGAAGGTGGTTGTATTGTTGGGCAAGCTATATGAGTTTGTTATCAACGGGGCTCAAACATTGTGTTTGTGGTTGTGTGTTGTTGGTTGTGTGTTGTTGGTTGTGTGCTTGTGGCTGTGTTTTGTTGGTTGTGTGTGTGTGCTTTTGTGGTTGTGTTGTGAGTGTGCTTTTGTGGCTGTGTTGTGGTTGTATGTGTATGGTTGTGTGTAGTGTTATGGTTGTATGTTTGTGGTGTGTGTTGTTGGCTGTGTGTGTTGTGTGTTTGTGGTTGTGCTTGTGCGTTGTGTGTTGTGTTGTTTGTGTGGGCATTCGCTGGGGTCCGAGAGTGCCCACTGCAATCTGGAACTGGCGCTTGCTGTTGAGGTCCCAGACTGCCCGCTGTGATCAGACCTTTGCCGTTGAGGTCCAGGAGGACGAGTTGCGGCGCCCCTCCTAAAAATCTAACACCCCTCACCTGATAGGTCGGGAAAAAAGGAACCTCAATGAACCAAGGTGCTGGAGTAATAATTGCCACGTAAAAAGGCTCGGTGGCCACCTTGGAACCGTCAATGATGTTGTGGAAGAATTTCTTTCCACTGCCCGTCTTGCCACTTGGCTCATCCCAGGTTTTGCCTGAAGGGTAGGCGGGGAAAGAGCCACCATCGGGATCCTTCTCTTGCTTCTTGGCAGCCTCATAGTGTTTCTGGTGAGTGTCCACCAGAGTCTGCAAAGGCACGCCCATGTCTTTGGCCAGGTCTTCCCCAGAAGGGTAGAACTTCATCACGCCACGTCCAGTGTAGTGCTTGGCATGCCAAATGATCTCATCTGCAGCCGCGCGGTTCAGGCACAAGCGGAAGGGTGGCTTGTTCTTCCACATCTCCCCGGTGACGTAGTCGCGGCGGCCCAGCTCGTTGCAGAAGCGCTGGCCATTGGCATCCAGGACGATGCCCCCCACTCCACGCAAGGCCTCAGCCGCCAAAAACTTCACCTTGGCATCGGGATCATCGGGCTTCACCAGGCCAGTGGGATGCACCTCAAAGATGTTGGGGGATGTGTCGCTTCATCTTTGAAGACAAAGCCGCAGGATTTGAAAATCTGTAGTCTATGTGCTTTACAGTGGGGGTTGAGAACGATTTGAGAATCCAACTCTGCATTTGCAGTAGACATATAATATAAACAGCCAGAGACACGGAGAAAGAGAAGGAGAGAGAGAAAACAAGAAAGAAAGAAAGAAAGAAAGAAGATGAAAGAAGGAAAGGAAAGGAAGAGGAAATGGAAAAAGGAAAGAAAATTATGTTTTTAAACATGGGACTGTCCAGGGCTCGAGACTTTCTTTTAGCTTTGAGCCCCAGAACCTAATACGGTTCGTCCACGCGCGCCTTGCCGCTCCTAGCCTTGGTTTGTGGTGCCATAGCTGCGGTACATCCACTCTGCAAGGGACTGGTATACTGACAAGGTGGCGAAGCATCCTCGATCTCCCAACGCACATAGGCGACTGCGGAAAGTTCGAGCGAGAAACAGGAAGCAGCTACAGCGGGCAGTTCTGACTGGCGATTTTTCGTCGAGGAGATTTGCCAAGGCATACCATATACTAAGGTGGCATCATACCTGGACAAGGCAACGATCTTTGTCGCTGGCACAGAAGATGTCATGGCAAGGCTACTGGGCGGCAAGTCCAGTGGCAAGACCCGGACATGGAACCTTCGGGGCACACCTCCAAAGAAGAAGAACGAAAAGAAGAAAGAGAAAGACGAGGACAAGTCCCTCTTTCCAGGATACGATACCTTGCGATCCTCCTCGTCTTCGCAGCCATCGGTGGAGGGTATGAAGTCGGCCTTGAAAGAAGCTATGAAGTCCACTACAGACAAAGAGTCTGCGGAGGGTGGGCTCAAGGCAGTACAACAGATCGTTGGCATGAGTGCAGAGGACGACGAGAAGGAAGAGCTCCGCTCCCAGCAGAAAGACCTCAACATCAGGAAGAAGTTGGTCGAAAAGATGTCACGGCTGAAGAAGGCCAAGGTCGAAAAGGCCCGGGCCTGGGATACATACAAAGAGGAGCTCAGAAGACACTACGATCAAGAACACGAGAAGTTCAAGAAGGACTTAGAAGGCATCGACGTGGAGATCAAGAAGACAGCAGACAAGATCGAAGAGTTCGATGCGGAAGCAGCTCTCCGGGAAAAACCCTCACCGAGCATGGAGGGTTTGGATGTGGAGGCAGCTACAAATATGGAGCTGAGAGAACAGCTGGCCAAAGCGCAGCACGAGCAAGCAAACACAGCGAGGACGCTGGCCTTACTGCAAACGCAGTTTCAGGCATATACCAGCAGTGGTGCACATGGACCCATGCCTTCCGAGGCAGCTGCTCTTCCCAGCCCATCAGATTTGCGAAAGAAGAGATTGGCACAGGTGGAACGAACAGGTCCTGCCCAGCCATCTCAGGCGCCTACATTTCGCATCGACGACGAAAGGGAGCGAAGTCCACGGAGATCCGAGCCTCCGGGTCCGGACTCACAGGAACTCAACAAGTTGGGATAGCAAGTCAGAGCTGCGAGATTGAGCAAGAGCTTACTGGAATTCTGATACACCCTCATCTTGGCGCCTTTTCAATGCGGACGACAGATGTTGGTGCGAGATTTCTGGGAGCAGGCTTATTTTGCTGGCAAATGATGCATAGGAATTTCTTCGGACATTTTACATGTTTAGATGATGACAAAGGGAGATGGAATATCATCTATGATTTACATTCCTGGAGCCATCAGTTTTGGAGTGTATGGACACCTGGCGCTACTTTCAATCAGCTGACAGGATACCAAGCCTCCAAAGACCTTTTCTCCTTTGACGACTCTAAGGGGGACACTGGAACAGGTGCATGCCATTTGATAGCTGCCATCGGTTTTCCCACTACGGAGCTTCGTCAAGAATATTTCTTTTTGCAGGGCAATCTGACCGATAAGATTGGGTTGAATGTCGAAGACCATCAACCGGAATTTGGTCATGTCAATAAAAATTGCTTGAAGATCTGTGGCCTTGTTTTGCTTATTCAATGCTTTGGGATGCATTGTGGCATTCTCGGCAACATCTGGGAGCAGATTTTTCGTCTGGATCTCAAGAAGAGGAAGCGACGAGCTCTGCTTCGGAGGTCTATGGTACTCTCAGCTCTTGCCAGTGTGTGCGAGTTCATTGCGGTTTTCAATATCTGCTGTGAACATCCGCTGGTTTTGAGCTATCAGGACTCAGTATGTAAAATCATGTGGCCATTCCTACTGGGGGCCGCAACATGCATCATCCGGTCACCTGGTTGTTACTGCGCCCAAGAGGGCTATGACCAAAACCTAGCCGCGCATTATTGCTAGTTCTCACCACCAAAGCAGCGGCAGCCAGCACCGCGCAGGGCCAACACGAATTTGTTGAAAAACTTCTGCAGACACCCTGTTCCTGCAAAAACATCCTGAACGCAAACAATCCAGAAAACCCTGCGGGTCCACTAAATCTGCAACCTTCGAGGACCTTCGTGGACCTTCGTGGGCCTTCGTGGGCCTTCATGGGCATGGGCCTTCGTGGACCTTCGTGGGGCTGGCGAAACCTTCGTGGACCTTCGTGGAAACCTTCGTGGACCTTCGTGGCGTCTTGACTAGCGACATAAAGAACCTTCGTGGACCTTCGTGGAAAAGGAAAACCTTCGTGGGGTTTCGTGGGTGGCCCTTGAAACCTTCATGGGTGGATCCGCGCACCTACACTGCAGTCAATCCGCCCAAAAATTTTGTTGAGCGAAAGAAAACCTGAAAAGTTCTGGACCGGAGCATTTTTGATAGAAAATGAATGTTTTGCCTACAAACGTTGACAAACCGGAATCAAACGGCTGTCATCAAGTAAATGCCCGGTGTTTCTGAAACTCGGAGACTTCCATAATCCAAATCCCTCACCAGGCCAAAATAAGTCTCTGATAGTTTCTAGCTTGGTGCCAGGCGCGCGACCCCAAACAATAAGACATCAACATTCGCGCAACTTCGTTGTGCCAGGAGGAGCACACTTCCAAACTGTGAAGCCAGAAAGAACAGGACCCGAGAGTGGACCCCAGTAGGGATGGCCAAAATCATGACCGGACTACAACTATGCATTAGTCTTTCAGTTGCCTGCAGACTTTCGTTTCGCCTCCGACGTGATAGACTGGGTGAAGCAATATGCATAGGAAGAAGACGCGTCCGAGATTGAGATGCAAAGTCAACTGGACGGGGGTTTTCCTCTGTCTTAATCTGATGACTGCACATGCTGTGGAGCACTCCTCGAAAGGTACGGTAGTGCCGGTCCAATCCACTAACATGGAGAATGTGGATGAGGAGACCAACGGCTTTTTCCAATTTGTGCCTCCGCCGGATAATCGCTTTGATCCAGAAGTTGAACAACAGTGGGTTCGTAATACTGTGGTTGACCACTTTCCTAGAATCAAGTTCCCTTGAAAGTCAGCAGAGTTTCAACACGTGGTTCGCGGACCTAGGTCGGTGTAGCAGTGATACCAGAGTTGTGAACATCAAGCCCACCCAATTTGGAGATCTGGGAGAAGAGTTCACCGAGGCCTGGAATGACAGGTGTGCTTCGACATGCAGCTTTGTCTTCGTTAGGCCGCAGCCACATGAATTCTTTGCCATAAAGTACGCTGCCCATGTGCTTGTCTTTCCTATAGCAGCTTACGCTGCCACGCTCCATGTGCAAAAAGAGGAAGTAGAGCCAGGCAGTCAAAGTTTCCATATCTGTGCTGAATCCTTTCGCTGGAAGGACTCTAGGCACGAACATGGGAGTCTTGTGATCACCGATAAGAATTCTACAGATGACGAGTCCTGTCTTATGCAGCAGCTAGTATTCTCTGACATACCTGCTAATGCAGAGATTGGACACATGAACGACTTTGTGCCAGTTCCTTTCCGACACGGCACGGTCTGTTTTGACCTGACAGATGTGCAGTCCTCTGATCTACTTCACTACAAGGTAGATTGGACTGGCTATGGCTATACTTTCTCGCCGCTGAGGCGTCGTGCGGTCTTACTGCCAAGGACAACTGATACCGGTAGCTATGAAGAACAAGATGTGCAAGCCATCATCGAGGAAATGATGCCAGAGCACGAATCAGGGAAGCAAGTCCTTAAGATCATGGCCTTCGAACTGAAAAATTGCCACGTACAATGTCATGTCTGCCCAGGATCATGAAGCTGGCGGATTCGCTGATATTGGCAGAGTTGCACTTTTACGAGACACGAAGGGCGAATACCACATCGTTGGTCTCCAAGAGACACGCAACAGAGCTGGAATGGTGGTGAGTTCGACGCATGCACGAATCTGCTCTGGAGCGAATGAACGAGGTCATCTAGGGGTAGAAATCTGGTTCTCATTGCCACTAGCCAGTGATGAGAAGGGCCATCAGTACTACTTTTCTAGCACGGATTTTGTCGTCCTGCACAGTGACCCCAGAATTCTGGCTGTACATTGCAAGAACAGTATTCTCGAATGCGTTGTCGTGTGCGCGCGCAGCCCGCATAGTGGATCACCACATGATACACGCCAGCACTGGTGGGATAGCCTGCAGCAGATCTGCACGGCTGCCGGTGGCAAGCTGGATCACATCTTGCTCATTGACGCCAATGCCAGAGTGCATACTCCAATTGACGGGGTTATCGGGGAGCTGATTGAGTGTTTCCCAACGCCTAACGAGGAACGATTTGTCGACCTTATCGGTGCCAGCGGTTTGTTCCTGCCATGCACTTTCGCTGAATACCAGTGGGGCGATATTGCTACGTGGATACATCCAAGCGGGGGCACTACAAGCCGGTTAGATTCTGTCGCAATACCTATCCACTGGAGACAGTCAGTGGTCTCCACGTGGGTGGACTGGGAAATCACCTCAGGTGTTGCAGCAATTGATCATGCCTGCTCGTCAGCCTTTCTTCGCTGGACCCAGATGATCACGGGCCGTCGAAAGCAGCCTCGAGCTTTTGATAAGGATGCCATGAACCACCCAGAGTCCAAGTCTATCTTGCGCCAGATTGTCGAGGGTATTCCTTCGGTTCCCTGGGAGGTGAATGCGTCAGTACATGCGGCCAAGATCAGTAAGTACTTGAGAAATGCTCTTTGCCAAGCCTTTCCGAGACAGCGCAAGGTTCGACCAAATGAGATAGCCAGCACGAAAGCACGAGACTTATGCGCTCTTACAACAAGTCTGAAAAGACAACTCAAGCCCTACAAGCTCATGACACGGCTTGCCAGCCTACACGAGTGTTTCAATGCTTGGAAGAACAACCATGCAGCTACTGAGTCTGAGGTGTCCCGACAGTGGACCCAACAACTCTTTGCTAAACAAGCCTTGATCAGACACAACCTCAACCAAGCTGCGTGGCAGCTCCGCAAACAACTCCAAACCGATCGCAAGTGCTATCTGGAGAGCATCTGCAACCGAGCCAAGCCGGGGGAGGTGTTCCGAATGCTCAGGCCGCTCATAGGGACTAGCCGCAGACATGGAGTCGGCACTCCCCTGCCCCAAATCAATAATGCTGATGGTACTGTTTCTGCCAGTTTCGAGGAGTATCAACAGAGATGGACCGAACATTTTGCTCAGCTTGAGGGAGGGCATATTGCTGATCCCAGTCTGTTTGTTCGACAAGAACTCGATAGGCAAAGAAATCAGCCGATGGTGCAGTGGCAGACGATCACTGACACGCCATCCCTATCGCATTTGGAGGCGGCCTTGCGCAAAGTCAATCTGCACAAGGCAGTAGGACCAGATCAGGTGCCAGGAGATCTCCTCCATATGTTTCCAAGGGAGTTTGCTCGAATCCTTTCCCCACTCATGGCCAAATTTGCCTTTCGATTGCATGAGCCAATCCAATGGAAAGGGGGCCAGTTGATCAAGTTGTATAAGGGCAAAGGTCCAATCCGAGAGTGCGCCAGCTTTCGCAGAATCCTGCTGATGAGCACAATAGGGAAGGCCATTCGAAAGTCAACCGAGCGTTCGTGGAAAACAGCACTGACACGCATTTCGGAGGCAAGCCTGCACAAAGCGTGATATTTGGGGCGCAAACAGTTCGCCACTTTATATCCATGCGTAAAAATGCAGGCACATGTTGTGCCATTCTTTTCTGTGACATTGCTTCCGCCTTCTATCGAGTGCTCCGGCAGCTTGCCACCGGTGCGGGTATGAATGATGAACACATTGCCACAGTGGTTGCACGCCTTGGATTGTCACCAGAAGTCCTGCACAAATTGCACCAAGCCCTGAATGGCCAATCTGCACATGAGCAACTTCTAGGAACTCAACCAGAGAGAATGCTCCTGCGAGAAAGTCTCAACGGGACCTGGTTCTGGACAGAAAAGGGCCCGTTGGTCCACACCCTTGTCGGAACAAGACCAGGTGACTCGTGGGCAGATATAACCTTCAATATCCTGTTTGCAGAAGTAATTAATGAGGTCCAGAAAGAACTTCTTCACCTAGGCCTGGCACTCACTGCCTGCGAATGCCAAGAGCTGTTTCGATGTACTGAATCCTACTATGCAGGACATCTCCGATATTGCCTGTCACGCCACATGGGCTGACGATCTAGCTTTGCTACTGCCATTAAGTTCGCCGGAACAGGCCGTCGAACAGACAGGGCGGGCCGCACAGGTCCTCCTTACGCAGCTTGCACGAGTGGGTCTGAAGGCTTCATTTGGCACGTCTAAAACTGTGGCTCTGCTTTTCATTAGAGGCAAAGATGCTGTGCAGGTTCGGAGAAAGGTATTCTCGTGTAAGAACCCCCAGATTCCAGTGATTTTGGAAGAAGAGACAGTGATGATACCTATCGTTACACAGTACAAGCACCTTGGCGGTATAGTAGCGGCCAAAGCCAACATGCGACTTGAAATCTCCGCCAGAATCGGCAAGGCCAACGCTGCTTTTGCGCGAATCTCCAAGAAGGTGCTTCGTGCCAGGCATTATCCCTTGAAGCTCCGACTGCAGCTCTTTGAAGCGACTGTCATGTCAATCTTCACCTGGGGATGCGGGGCTTGGCCCTCTCTTCAAGAAGCAGAGTGGAGAACCTGGCGCAACGCTTGCTACAAGATGTTCCGCAGGCTCAGTCCGCTTTCGAATGAAATGCAAGTGAGACATGTCTCCAATGCCGAAATTCTCATTTCCCTTGCGGTGCCGACCCCGCTTGACCGCATACAGGTTGCCCGTGTCCGCCACATAGGATCTATGATCAGCAATGCAACCAATGCTGTGTGGGCTCTACTACGACAGGACGCCCAAGCCAGACGGGCATATCTGCAATCGCTAGAGTGGTTTTGGCGTGGAGTCGGCAGGGATCGGGACACTCCTCACCCTTTTGTTTGGGAGGCTTGGGAGAAGCTTGCCACTGAGCAACCGCTCACCTGGAAGCGGTTGACGAGGAAAGTGCTGGGCCGATATACAACGTATAGGGTCATACAGGCCCGTGTTCGCCAAGCCTATTGTTGCCTTGTTTGGGCGGTGGCTAGCCAGTCTTGGCTCCAATGCTGATCCTGTCCTGGTTCAAGCAGGCCAAAGGATCACGAAGGAATTTGCTGATATCTGCCTTCAGAATGTGACCTTCGATGATTAGAACCTTGATGACGAGAATGAGCGAAGGGCGATTCAGCTTGGCACAATTCAGCCTTGCAGGCCCTCCAGATCCTTCCGAGAAAAGTACTTTCTGCACCTATATAGTGGCCGACGCCGTAAGGGCGATCTACAAGGTGCTCTAGAAGCGCTTGAACCGGAGGGAGGAGTGACCTTATGGGTCTTGTCCATAGATGTCATGGTGTCTGGCAAGTACTGTGACTTACTGCAGCATGATACTCAGCAATTGTGGCTGAAGATTGCTCGAGAAGGTCTCGTCGAGGGACTCTTAGCGGGACCTCCATGTGAGACATGGACGGTCGCAAGGGAAGCAGATGGCATGGCCCCGGAACATGGACCCAGGCCGCTGCGTACGGCGGCTGAGCCCTGGGGCCTGGTTGACCTGACGCAACGAGAATTTTTGCAGATTGACGTGGGCAACCAACTGATGATCTTTGCCATTAGGATCTGCCTGATCCAAGCCATCCAGGGAAAATTTTCCCTACTAGAACACCCCGACGATCCTGAACTGCATGACCGGTCCAAACATGCTTCGCCAAGCATATGGAGAACGGCCGTCCTAGCATGGCTCAGACAACTTGGACTGTTCGTAGAGCTTCGTTTGGAACAAGGGTTCTACAGCCAAGTGAGCAGGAAGCCTACTAGGTTTTTGATCAGCGGGGTTGTACAGGACATGGCCCAGCAGATCGGGCTACAATGTAGAACCTCAAAGAGGCCAACAGCCTCGACTATTGGAAAGACCAATGGCGGCTCCTTCAAAACAGCAAAGCTGAAGGAGTACACGCCAGAACTGTGCGCTATGATTGCTCAACTCTATGCTCACCGATTGAGACCCCAATGCGAAGCATTGGATGTGGCTCCTGGCGAGTATAGCTGGATGCAATCACTTTCCGTCAGCGCCTACGAGCACGAGACTCATGGCCCTGACTTTGCCGGCGCTGTACAGAGCTGAATTCAAACTGCGAGGCGGCGCGCTTTACTGCACTAGCTGCGCATGGAAATGGAAATGGAAAACTGGGACTGTCCCTACCCTGGGCACCTGAACCCACTCCAAATCGATGGTTGCAGCACCAATGGCCTCTCCCATCTTGATGGCATCACCTGTGCAGTGCTCACCGTTGGTGGTGGGCAAATGCAACAAATCCGGCCGGTACGTCGCCAGCAAGGAGTCCGAGCCGAAGTCCGCGCCGAAGCCACCCGAGGCCAACACCATGGGGCCGAACTCCTTGATCACTTTTCCAGCCTTCCGGTACTCGCAGCCCACCACGGAGCGACCATTTCTGAGAAAACCAGCGAACGGAATCTCGTCCGAAAGAAGACAAGGTTCCCTGAACAAGATTCATCTTGGAGGGAATGATATTCCGCATCGGAACGAAAAGCTATGGCAGTAAGAAATGATCGATCATTAATACATGAATGCAACTCACCTTAAGCGAAACCAGGAGTCAGGACCAATTTAAAGACTTCGGCTTTGGTGATGATGCGAGCACGATTGGTCTTCTCTGCCACCTTCTCCAACATCTGAATCAAGGCATAAGTGATGGTCATGCCTGGGAAGCGCTCCTTTCCACGATGCGTGCGCGGTTGGGAGTGGCCGCCCAAGCGTGCGAGCAAGGAGAGGTCCAGGTCGAACTTGTCCACCAGCCAATCCACATCAGCAGCACTGTTGGCACCTAAATCACTAAAAGCTCCTTCAAACGCAAAGCACGAAGCAGTGAAAACGCACATTCAAAAGGAAATCAAACTTATGATTGTGGCTGAACTTAAAAGAGCCACCACAGTGTTGTCGCACAAACACAGAGAGAATATAAAGCTATATACAACTGGGGCTCCAACAAAGAACCTTGGCCAATTCGGGCTTCTTGGCGCCACCCTTGAGGGTATCGGCGATGAAGATCTCTGAATTATCTGGGATAGACTTGCTCTTTTGCGTCTTGGTGCCTGCGCCATTAATGCCACTAGTGGCCTTGGTGCTGTTGCCACCGCAAAAGGAGGACTTGTCCAAAAGCAGAGTGCGTCCGCCGTTCTCTACCACGGTGTTGGCCGCCGACATACCTGCGAGGCCACCACCCACCACGATCACCTGATTGGCTGGAAACACCGCCGCCATGCTGAGCGGAAGCGAAAGCCCAAACGATAAAATGTCTTGAGGCAATATGGCTGCAGATCTTGAAATTTGCTCCGTAGCCACGCCCAGCACACTTCTACCTCTATCATCCTCTATCTACCTCTATCTCAGTGTTTTCGGTCTACCACCTCGCAACCACCTCGCAACGCGGCAGCGGTCTCGCCCCTCTCCGGTTCGCCCCCGATCCCCGGCGCTGCGAACCGCACCCCCGCATGGCCTGCGGAAGGAGGTGCCGCAGCGGTGGAGGTGCCGCAGCGCGGGCGAGCCCGCACGGGTGGCCGGCGGGAAAACTCTGAGCAAAGGCATGGCTCCATTCATGAGGCGTGAAAGGACCAGTTGTTCCCCCCCCCCCCACGGGGAGAAGGGTGGTGCATCTTTAATTGAGTGGTCGAAATGGAGGAGAACCCGGCCTATTCAAGCATTTTTGGTAGCAAAGCAGAGCTTCTGATCCTAAGATCCTGGGCGGGTAAAGAAGCAGTGCGGCGATCCTGCTTCATGATCATACTTGTTGAACTTTAGCTAAGATCATCTGAGGTCAATTGATTGACTGGCTTGGCGTGCGAACAAACCCCATCTCAACCACGGCTCTACATTTAGACCTATCTGTGGGAACAAAAGCACCAATGTAGTCGATCCTGATGTTGGGCAAGCAATGCCAGTTCCCTTACATTCAAGTCCTGTCTCCTGCTGCCTGTATTATGTCACTCTGTGGTGGGCTTCCAACAGTGTCCGCTGAGAAAAGCTGCTGTGATGAAGAGCTGAAAGGGCATGCAAGGGGCCAAAGTACGGCAGATCGATTGTGGAAGGAGGAACCCACACGAAGAAAGTGGGCAAGATATGGCACCTCCGGTTTAGGCATCATGCTTTGGCTGCTGGTGTTGTGGCCTTGCCTGGCCACTCATCTTTAAAACACTCAGCCTCCGGCCCAAGTTCTCAGGCTGCAATTCTCCTGTTCCAACCTGGGTGCTTTGGGGCCACTCGCGCGAGGAGGAACCGCTTCCATCCCGATAGGCTTCAGCAAAAGCAATTGCAACAGCTGTAGCAAAGAACTCAAAATGAAAAGGTCAAGCGCGAAAGCTGACCCTGAGAGCTGACGGCCCCACCGACAGCACTTTTGACTGACCTCCTTGCAAAGAGGCGATGCTGTGTGCATCTGGCATCATCTGGAAAACTTTTCTCATGCGGTGCCTGCATCTAACACCCGCCCTGAAAACAGGAGAAAAAAGGTGAACCACGCCTTTTGGCCTTCGTCAGACATCAAAAGAGTCGAGTCTCAGCGCCCATTGTGGCACGAAACCATTCGTGCAGGACATGTGCCTTCCTGTACATGACAGCGCTGCGATGCGGCAAACTCTGATAAAGACTGGTTGAATTCTGAGTCTCCACCGGTTGCCATCTTTCAAATGATGCAAACTACTGACACCAGGCTTTAGAAATGATTTGGACCACGCGCGAGTGTTGCGTTGGCCCGGTGCATGGATGCACGGACTTCATAAATTTCCCTGGCCGACCATCAGCGGTCTTCGCACGTGTAGGGTGACGCCTGCGCTCTCTCTGCTCCAGCGTTGGTGCTGGGGCGGCCGACCACCACAAGGCTGACGACCACAAGCCCCACCCAGACAGTATTGAAACAAAGGGATTTCGTCCATGAAGATGTCAGGACACCCACAAGAATGGCAAGCAGTGCGACTGCAAGGGCAGCTAGACGTCCATCCAACGGGGGAAGGCCAAAGCCAAATCCTCGTTCAAAGATGGCGCTTTCATCATCATGCTCATCTTGCTGCAGAAGGGCCTGGATCCAGAAGCTTTGACACTTGACAAGGAACCTGTGGCTTTGGCTCATCTAGGGCCTAGGGCATCTAGGGACCGATAATCTGACTAAAAATTACTGGAGGCCTCTGCACTGAACCAGCTGGCCCCCAACAACGGGGCCGCCAATGGGTTCTACATCGTCCCTGTCCCGCTGAGAATCGACTGAGAAGTGACCGATGAGGTTTCTCGTATGCTGCCTTCACCTCTTCGGATGCTTCATCCACCTTCTCTTCCTCCTCAATCTTGCTGTCACTGCCTTGGGGCGGAGGAAAAGTCTCTGGAACCAGTATAAATTATGATCATAAAACATGCTCACTCCCATGACACCGGAAAACCCTGGCCCGCATGGCAGTGGAGAAACCAGACTCTCCCAGGACACATGGAGACCTTCCCACACCAAGGTTTCCCTCCCCCTGTCTCCCCAGCTGGGCCCCCTGCTGATCAACCGCTGATAGGCCTGCTCCGCTTCCGCGGTCGGGACGGCGGTGCTCGCTTGGCTGTCAAATCCTCGGCGCACGACGAGACCCTGAAAATGAAGGTCTGGAAGCTCCGACGAGCATGGAAGACCATCTCGGCATGTTCTTCTTGTCTTTTTCTTCGGATGTTCGCGGATTGTATGTTGCTGCTCTAGTTTTGGGGGGAGCCCCTCTCAACCCTCCAGTATCTCCTCAGCTCAAGGAACGTTCAGCTCTACTGCATCTTGGCCCCAGGAACGCTTGTCACTCACGGATGCCGCTAGGATTTGCCAATAGGAGTCGGGTCAAATGTTTCCACCAGACCCGCTTATCTACCTATCTACCTATCTACCTGCCCCTACCTACCTACCTACCTCCCTCCCTCTGTCTCCCTTTGTCTCTCTCTGTCTCTCTCTCTCTCTCTCTTCCGTTTTTTGATCTCGAACTGGGCCCAGAGGCGGTTCCAAACAGATTTGCCAGCACAATCCTCTTCCGTCACCGTCTCCTGACAAGACCCCCCAACAACTGCACACTGCGGTTCAGGCATCCCCCGCTTCAACGTAGATCCCTTTTGGTGGGTCCAAGCAAGCACCGGCCGACCAGGCCTTTGAGGTCTGACCCGGTCACAAACCCTCTGGGGATGTAAAAGAATTTGAGCTGATGCCGGCCGGTGTAAACTGGTCCTGACTCGCCTCTGAGCTTGATCGGTTCTGCTCTTTGGGCGTCCGGGATGGTCAAACTGAGCAAAGCTCTGTATCAGTGGGCAGGTTAAGCCACTGCCGTACCTCACTACTTACCACTCATAAGCATCCTCACATACGCTTCAATGGCGAATCGGTCCAAGTTTCGTGAAGCCACATGCTTAACATCCATCTAGCCAGCCTGAGTGGCTCATCTCATTCCCTTGACCGGACCAAAATCCTCAAGTATAGGCTGTGTCTATGGTGGTCATCTCTCCCCGATCCTCCCATCCGCCCCGCTCTCCCCAGTCCTTGGGCTCCTTCTCCTCGCTGCCCGCCATCCCGGGGAACCAGGAGATTGGCTTCCTCAGATTGATAGAGCTCACCCACCCACCTCGAGAAGAGTCTTTAGAACCACGAATGACCGACCACCCCGGTGAATGAAGAGTAAATGGAGGGCGTGTGGAGAAAGAGAAAAACCGACTACCACCATGTCTGTGCACTGCAGAAATTGGCCTCTGGGTTGCTATAAATCCCTTTCTCGTGGGGAAGGGGTACGACTTGGCCGACTCAGCCGTCGCTTAGTCGGAAGAAAAGAACGCGGCCGTCTCAGATGTCCTGAGGACGACATTGTGAGGGCACGTGTCACACTTGCCTTATCATCTACCCCAACTCTTCAACCTGTGGTAGAGCGGCTGGTTGAGGATATCCTCCTGTGCAAAGATCATGGCTGCACGGCAGGACTTGTTTGAGCGGATGATTGCTTATTCTCGACCTTGAGCCAAAGGCATACAGAGAAAACTGAGATATACATAAACTGACATAAACTGATCACACTGATCCTTGCCACAGGCCCGCAGGATGCCATGACTCCCTGAATCTTTGCAACATGGATCATCCCCTGGAAGAGCAAAGCACCAACAAGAAGACCCGTCGCAGCTTCGTCCTCTAACTTCAGCTCGAGGCTCTGCCTTCGGTCCGGAGCTCCGAAGAGAATTGGAGTAGGTCTAAATCCCCAAGCAGCACTTGAGAGAGGAGGGGGTACGAAAGGTAGCAGGCAATCACAAGTAACCCTGGTAGAAGTCCACGACGGCGTGAACCGGCGCAGGGGGGATTTGATCCAGGGGGGGGGGGGGTGAAAGAGTGACTAGGGCGTACACGGTAGAGGTGCAGACCGCTAGTGTCTTTTACTCACGCAGAGTCTTATCCTATATCTCTTGAGCCTTGAAGCAGTCAAGCATGGACACACTATATCGGCTGTTGGAGTGGAACCCTGTACAGGTAGGCTCTACTTTTCAGCAGGCACAAGATTCATGTCCACTCCTAGCTGATTGCGTATGTCGCATACTCTTTTTCTACTGCAAGGCTAAAACAGTCCAGCTAGCTCTGACAACTTAAAAGAAAACTACGGTGCCATGTACTTACCTAATCCAGTGTGTTTCACACTTCAGAGAAGGTAATCTCATAGCTACTAAATACAGTGAGGGAGCAATAGCTGACTCACCTCAAGTACAAAATCAAAGCGATAATGTACCTCGGCTGGAGACTGTACTTTTCGCAGGCGGAGATACCATGTACCGGCGCTCACTAGCTCTTTAGGGCCTGAGCTAAATCAAACTAAAAAAGGGAAAGCGGCTTTTTCTCTACAGAGACCTATAAAAGAATCAAACGACACTCGCGTAACAAAGAACTAAAAATTCAAGACCGCACAAATTGCAATGAATTAAGATGCCTTGCAAAATGCAAGGAGCGTACGGTTCGAGGAATAATCTTCTCGTGACGTGGTCTCGACCGCTTTCATTCACAGACAAAATAAAACTGCATCAAAAGGACTCTCTTTCACATTCACATCAAAAACACAAGAAGGAGATACCGGCAAATGTATGTACAAAAAAATCTTGCACTACAATTGCAAATCATGAAATGACTTAATCATCAACCATGACTGGTTGTACATTAGAGGTCATCTCAGAAAAAG